CTCAACTGGGACAAGGACACTCATGGATGGATTGGTGGAGAATTGATTGCTCATTCAGAATTGATTGCTGGGGGTCTATCCAGGAGAGAGAACTGAGGCAGCTGTTTCAAACTCAGAGCTTTGGTGGCAGCAGAGTGGGATGGGGCCCAGTCGATGGCAACTGGATAGAGATTCAGGATTCTACCAGCTAGGCTTTAAAGGGGTTCTAGGCTTACTGGTGTGCAATCAACTCATCATACATGCTGACCAAAAGATTTCTTGTGCCTTCATGTTGCCTCTGTTTTTCCCACATGTTCATTTTAACCTGATTACACCTGTGTAAACCCATTGAGCCTGGGGGTAGGGGAAGCAAGTACATAGCATGGTCTGTCCTGGCCCAGATCCCCAGGCACAGCCTTGGAGGCAGGCAGGGAGGGAGAGGGGCAATGTGTTGGTAGAAGGGCTTACCTCCGTCTCCGGGCTGTAGCAGTGGTAGTAGCCCCCAAGAGCTTCTGCAAGGTTCTTCAGGACAGCCTGCAGGGATGGTGACAGGGTCAGGTCTCAGTAGGGCAACACCAATACTCTAACAAGCTTTCTCCTTGACTGAACCTCCCAACTGTCCAATGATTCTTATCTTACCAAAGAGAGAACTAGACACGAGGAGAGTCGTGTTCTGGTCCACAGCTTGGGGGGGCCTGTCCACACATAGAGCCTCAAAGCCTGGCCCAGCTCACTATGGCCAATCCAAGGAAACCCTGGAGAATCTCCAGTACTTACAGAGGGCACCTGATGGTCACATTTGTAGGTGATGATGTGGGTGATGAGGCCCCTTCCCACGACGGACTGTTGGATGTAGTAGGACAGAATTTCAGAAGGCTGATCTGGGCTGGGGAGACGATGGAAGAAGAGAAGGGGGCACCCAAGGTCAAATCACTTTGAGGACATTCCATAACAAAATGGTAATTCCCAGGGAACATCTACCGAATCTAACCAACCACCTCTGTCCAGGTCACCTGTGTAAGATGGAAGGCAGAGGGGACCTGGCCTGCTCTGGCTGCCCTGCCCCAACATCTATGGACAGATAGCCTGTGAACACAGTCCTTCTCTCAAGTGTGTGGGAAGAGTCATGCTGGATGATCTTTTCTCAAACAATGGTTTGGTTCTCCGGCCCCCTTCATGTAGTCTGTTACCCGCTTAGGAAAGGAGACCTACCAGCTTCCCATTATGATCACCAGAGAATTCAGCCCCTTTACTGCAAAGATTTTCCTCAGGGCTTGTAGCAGATTGCTGCCTCCACCAGACTGCAGTTTCTTTACCCAGAGCTTGAGTTCCTGGAGGCTGAGGGAGACAGTAATGGAGAAGACAGCAGCAACCTAACCACAGTACTCTTACTAGTTGCCAGGCCCAGGACAGACATGAGCTCATTTAAGCCTAACGATAATTCTTGAGGTGGATACATTTATTCCCATTTTACAGATGAGGAAACTGAGGCTCAGAGTTAGGACTTGCCCAAGGTGATACCGTAAGCAACTGACAATGCTGAGATTTCAGACCAGGTCTGACTCTAGGACTTGAGCTTCTAGTGACTCTGCTGTCTGAGGGTCTGGGGCTAAGTTCCTTCTTCCCCCCACACCCTCCCAACTCTCCTGGAGGCAGATCTCAGCCTGAGGCATGGAGTTAATCCCCTCACCCTCAGGCTCTAGGAGAAGGCACCGTGGCTGTGGGACTACATCCCACATGGCCTGGGATCCACATCACTCATGAGAAGGAAGTGACTTAACACGGTGCTCTCTCAGTTAAATACGTCACGTGGTACAGTGAGAGGGTCCTGCTCTTTCCATTTCTCTTTCAGTCCAGCCAAAAAAATCTCAACTCATTGCCAGTAAGTCTGTCTTATTATTACGTAACAGTTGAGTCTCCCTTTTAAACAAAGAGAAAACAAATCCCAGGCCTAGCGCCTTCTCGAGCCACTATGTTTCAAGCTGGAATTTGATATCATTGTTTTGTTTGCTTTCACTGTATTTATTTATTCATTTTATTTATTTATTATTATTTTTTAGTGAGGAAGATTAGCCCTGAGCTAACATCTGTTGCCAATCCTCCTCTTTTTGCTGAGGAAGATTGGCCCTGGGCTAACACCCATGCCCATCTTCCTCCACTTTTTATATGCGGGACACCTGCCACAGCATGGCCTGATGAGCGGTGCACAGGTCTGCACCTGGGATCCAAACCCATGAACCCTGGGCTGCCAAAGCAGAGCATGAGAACTTAACCACTACGCCACTGGGCCGGCCCCTCACTGTATTTATTTTTATGGTGACTTTCTAATTATGGCAAGTGACGTGGGCTTCTCAGTTATGGTATCGATAGAGTTTCCTTCAATAATAAACATAGAGTTGATATTTAAAAAATCAGTAATAGTACAAGTGCCCCACAGTAAATAATAGTGCACGTGGCAGAGATATGACAAAAATCACAAAGGAAGCAATGATGAAGTTGAGGAGCTCTTGGCTAGAGGATCTCAAGGTGACTTCCAGGTCTCACATCCTGGAGATCAGAGCTCTAACTAGAGTGGAGATCTCAGTACAAAATGCTCTCATTCACTGAGCACCTGCCACACGCCAGCTATTTTTCATTTCTTCTCCACAACAGCTCAGTGAGGGGAGGTATCCTCGGCCTCCTTCTGCTAATGAGAGAGTGAAAGGACAGGTCAAGGTCACCCACTAACTGTCAAAGTGGGATTCAAAGCCAGTGCTGCCAGAACTGGGCACTCCTCTACCTGGAAGGGCTCCTCTCTGCAGCTAGTGCTGGACAAGGGGACCTCCATCCCAGACATGCAAGCACGTGGTTTGTCCTGGAATCCACTCTGGGCTTTGGAATCCAATCCCGGCTCTGCCACTTTGGGCTTGTTCCCTAACCTGAGTCCTAGTTTCCTCATCTGCAAAATGGGGATAATAATCCTATTCCATGTGTTGGCTATAAATATTAAATAAGATAGTACATGTGAAGGGCCTAGCATGGTACCTAATACATGGGTGATCAAGGATATTCCCTTCATAAAAAAGAAATTTCTACTTGCTGGCATAAGTAATTAGAAATTCATACACACCTTCCCTCTTCCCATGCCCCCCCAAAAAACTCCAAACTAGGAACTCCCAAATAAAGAACTAGTTAAATTGTAGTACATCTATGCAGTGGAGTACTATGTAGCCATTAAAAAGAATGAGGTAGATAGATCTATGTGTACTGAGTGAGATGGATATTCAAGATTAGGTGACAAGCCAAGGTGCAGAAGAGTGTAATGTGCTCCTGTTTATGTTTAAATAAAACACACAGATGCATGCACGTGACAGACTGTCTGTGGAAGTAGACAGAAGAAACTGTTATTGGGTGGTGAGGGGGGACTGGGGTGAGAGGGAGATTCATTTGCTGTTATTATCCTTTCATATTGTTTGAATTTTTGAAAATGAGCATGTATTATTTTCATAATAAAACCAATCTTTGTTAGATTGCTGGATAAAAATGGTGTCCCGTGGTTGTCTTCTCTTTCATTTTGTGGTTTGCTCATGAGGGTGACCATTTTTCCAAAAGTTATTGGCTCCCTGCGTTTTTGCTTTTGTGAATTGTCTCTGTGGACTCACTTATCTGTTGGGGTCTTGGGTTTATACTTTAATCATGTGATATAGACACTACCACTTAGGGAGGAAAATGAACAAGTTCACATCTTGGCCAAGGCTGGGCAGTCACTCACGTGGAGGCGTTGACTTCCACGGGGTCTGGCCAGAGGGCGCTGGAGGTGGTGCTGAAGGACAAGACGTACAGCTTCTCCTTGTGACTCAGCTGCTCATCGATAAGGCTCTGGCAGACAAAAGGATATCACTGGCTCCCAGAGCCAGGGGCCACCTGGAGCCTTGCTTCACCTCTCATACCGTGGCTGGCCCCTCTGGGCTGGGTCTGAGCTGTGCTGAAACAGGGTCACTTGAGGCTCAGCTTAGTGGCCCCAAGCTGACACTTGCTTTTTGTCCATTGGGTCTCATGGGGGTGTGGGATGAGCTCCCTAGCTGGCCATCTCAGCCTGTGCCTGTGGTGCGGGCGGGGGCGGGTCCTTGGGCCTGTGGGCTGGCAGACCGCCCTGCGGGGTTGTGCCCTCACTCCTCCCACCGACTGCAGACTGATGTTCTCTTCTGGAGCAGCTCCTGAGGGCTGCCACACACTTGGGTCATGGGGTGGGAGTGGGGTGAGCACCCTGGCTACCCATCTCAGCATGTGCTATGGTTGGACCCTTGGCACTGTATTGTGGCACCCAAGAGGACAGGGTCGGGGCAGTGGTTTCTTGCCAAGGCGTGTGAGTTGGGGACAGAACAGTGGGCACCACATCATGCTGTTCGAAGCTCTCAAGCTGCAGCTGGTGAATACCCAGCAGTAAGATAACTCCTCCCTCTTCTTCTTGGCTAGCTAGAAATTTCACCTGCATGCCACCAAAACGAGGCTTGCCCTGGCTAACATTAGACCAGCCTACCTGGGGGATCTTTGGACACTCGGCCCTAAGGACTTGTCATGAAGGGGAGCCTGCACTGACACTTGTTCCTTGATACCTGCTGAGACCAGGAACAGGGGAAAAGTCTGGCTGACTGGCCCACGTTGAGCCCTATAAAAGATCCTTGAACCAGCGATTGCTGCTAAGGTCCGCTTCCAAAGCTCTAGGGGTTTCCATAAGAAAATAGACTCCACATTACTTCACAGAGACTACAGAACTTTTTCTACACCAGACTTTGTACCGAGCACTTAACTTGCATGAACTCCTTTTGTGCCAGGGCAACTCTGTGAGGTGGCCATTGTCATAATCCCCACTTTACAAATGAGGTCACTAAGGCACAGAGAGACTAGGTAACGTGGTCACAGAGCCCAGAAGTGGTGGACGCGCAGTGATCTGACCTTAGTCATCCGACTCTAGAGTTCTTAGCTTCTCTGCTTTGGACATGTCAAAGAAACCAGAATAGCTCCTCCCTCTGGAAAAGGCCAGGAAGCCCGTGCAGTGCTCTGCCGGAGTCAGCCCAACTGATTCCTGACTTCACGCCCTCTTTCCAGGGAACCGGGGGCTCTTGAGGCAAAGTCTAGTTAGCAGGGACTGCTGTGGTGAGAATACTAGAAGCTCACTCTGCAACCGAAAACTGACAACTGACTTTATGGCTGGGTTTCGCAGAACTCAACATATTTTTTTAACCATAGGTGCTAATTAAGTGTGAACTGTTCTTTGTAAAACATTCCACTTTGACTTGGCTCTAAATGAGCCAGTTAGCAAGCTCACAAAGGGGGGGGAGGTGGTGGTGTGTTTCCAGGTAATTCTCTGTGCCAGAGAGACTTACCATGAGGTCATTTTGGAACTCCTCCTTCTGAGGACCACTGCTGACGGCTGACACATCAATGAGGATGCCGACTCTGGCCCCCTTGATGAGGCCAAATGCCTAAAACCAAAGAGGCAGGGCATGTGGAAACACCCAGCACAGCTCTGTGCTTCTCTTAAGCTTTTCACTGAGCTGCTCAGCACGATGCAGAAGTTCCAACACTCTCCGTGCCTCCACAAGAAGTGGCTGAAGGAAGGCCCATTTGACAGAGGAAAAAGCAAAACCTGATGTCCTGACTTTGGGCATTATCTGCTCCTATTTTGTGGCAGCCTGTTCTTTAAAAGTTTTTTTTTTCCGTTAATATTTACTGTTCACTCTTATAAAGTAATAATGTTCATTATAGAAAATTTGGAGACTGTAGAAAAGCATCTTTTGTAAGATATAAAGTTTGATGTCTAATTACGTCAGCTTATCTTGTTTCATTTCTCTATATCCTTAATTTCCTACCCACGCTACCAATCAAAGGCAGACGCATTAAGCTCGCCCGCTGCAGTGGTATTTCTGACAGTTTCTAATTATGTTTCTAACAGCTATTGCTATCCACACGTGAATGCTGTCTGTGCAATAGCTCTGCACACAACTCTCCATCCTGTTATAGCTGCATTGTGAATTGGAATTTTCATTCATATGAAATTGATAGTTCTCTAGGGGCAGTAGGTTCCTTTTGATGCTTTTTGCCTTAAATCCTGCTTTATTGGCTACTTAGGTGTCCTGTTCACTTCACTTCTCTGCTCTCAGAGATGTATATTTTACGTCTCTCACACCTCCAGCGTTCCCTTTCTGCATTCTCTTAGCAAGTGATTTTGCCTCCAATTTCACTGAGAAAAAAAGTTGAAGAGTTATTTTAAATCTTTCCAGCAGAATCTACCAACCTACATGCCCCCATGCCCACACGCTCTGCCTTTCCCTGTTACAATGTATCTAAGGCCAACTCTCAAAGCCCCGAGGCCAACCCTTTGACTTGCATTACTGGATCTTCTCTTGCCAAATAGGGACTTTGCTTCTGGAATCATCTCTCCTCCTGGATCATCAGTTCCTCCTTATCTATTGTAGCACACACATAGGCCATAATATTGCCCATCTTAAAAAGGAAATAAACCTTTCAGGGCCTGATCCAGCTACCACTTCCTTTCCCTGCTTCCCATTTTAGCAGCACTTCCCCACCTCCCATTTCTCTGCGACCCACTCGGATTAGGCTCTCACCTCCCCACTCCTCTGAAGCCACACTTGTCAAGTGACCAATGACCTCGCTCCTGCCCAACACAATGGTCAAATCTAAGTTCTCAACTTTCTCGAACTCTGAGTAGCATATGACACAGTTTGGCTGTGTCAAGAATTTGGCAAATTGAAGAACTTAATAAGTGTACCTTGTCTTTCAGGACACATTTTCCTGCTTTTCCCTCTACTCAATGGCCAGTCCTTCTTTTTTTTTTTTTTTTTTTTTTTTAAAGATTTTATTTATTTTATTTTTTCCCCCCAAAGCCCCAGTGGATAGTTGTGTGTCGTAGCTGCACATCCTTCTAGTTGCTGTATGTGGGACTCGGCCTCAGGATGAACGGAGAAGTGGTGCCTCGATGCGCACCCGGGATCCGAACCCGGGCCGCCAGCATCGCAGCGCGCGCACTTAACCGCCAAGCCACAGGGCCGGCCCAGGCCAGTCCTTCTTAATCTCCTCTGCTAGACAGACCCTCCCCTTCCTCCCAGAGGCTAAATATTGGAATGCCCTGGAAACTTGTTCCTGAAGGTGTTGGCCATGGACAACAGCATTACCACCACCTGGGAGCTTGTTAGATGCAGAATCTCAGGTCCCACCCCAGACTTACCTAATTAGAGTCTGCCTTTTAACAAGGTGCCACCCTCTCCTCCCCCCAGGGGATTTGGGTGCACATTAAAGTTTGAGAAACACAGGGCTAAGGCTCCGTCTTCCTTTCTCTTCTTTATCTACACCAGGGTTTGTCAACCCTGGCACTACTGACATTTTGGGCTAGATAATTCTCTGTGGTGGGGAGCTGGCCTGTGCATCATAGGATATTTAGCAGCTTCCCTGGCAACCTCCCTTCCCAGATGTGACAACCACAGATTTCTCCAGAAAGTGCCTAAGGTGAAAGCAAACGGTGAGCTAGAAAAGTATCAGTTGGAGGAAAATAGGCTAAAACAAATAAGAAAGCATATCAAAGGGTAACTTCCCCATGATCATTCATCTACCCTTTGGGTCAGAGGAAAACGTTTAATCAAACTTTCAAGAAAAGTTATGTGCAGATGATCAGCCTTGGTCTTATAAATCTCATTGTGTGTCTGAGGCTAAATGGTCTAGGGGACACCTGCTGTTCTCAGCTGCCCAGGATCTGTGTCCCCTTCTGGTAACAGCACTCTGGCTTTCCCTGTTCAACCATCTATCTCCCTTTCTCAGTCCCTGAGGTTTGGGGGGGCTTACTCAGTCTCCCCCCACTTCCCCCACCCCCTGGTTTTCCCCAGGAGTGAGCACTACTTCCAGGCCTGGCCAGTTAGTATATCTCATCCCCTTGGCTGCAATGATTGGTCTAAATTGGCCCAGTGACAAGTCAATCCCAGGACTTGAGGGTGTGTACTGGGAGAGGAAGTGAGGTCCCTTTCGCCATGTCACTCTAGCTGGTGACATGTAAGCTTAGAGCTACTGGTGACCATCTTCCTAAGACTGGGGAGAGCCTTCCTGAGAATAAAACCGACCCAGAGGAAAGCAGAACCCAGAGAAAAAGAGATGACATCATTTGGGCCCCTGGATACAGCCGTGAGTGGGTTTTTCATTTATGTAAGTCAAGAAATTCCTTTTCTAGCTTAAGCCAATTTAAGTTGGAGATATATCATTCACAACTGACAGGGGTCTAACAAATACAGATGGAATGAGTGAAAGGGGGCAAAGAATGAAATTACCTTCTTGCTGTCTTCTGTGAGCCACTGAATTCTCTGTTGATAGAGTTCTACAGTTCTGTCAAAACACCAGACAGGCTCATCACCCAAGGTCAGCTTCATATCTGAGCAACAGCCACTTGTATAAATGGAAGGAAGATATAGATGGGATTTTTTTTTTAAGATATCTAAGACGTTGGGAGAACAGAAGGCAAAATCTAACAAAGAGAAAACTGAAGGCATTATTTTGCCAGGGGTAAAGGACGAAAGGGATTCTGAAAGGGATCAAGTGTGGGGATGCCGCTCTTTGGTGACACGATGTACATTATAAACGACCATGGTTTGGGGGAACAAGGGGTGGGCTTTGAGTGAGTACGTCTGTGGAGGACGGGGGAGTGTGTTCTCATGAGGAAGGTGGAAGAATACTCTTGCTCTTCTCAAATCTGTGTCTTCTCAGACGAGACATCCTAGTCGCCTGGAGATGATCATAAATACACAGCTGAGGTAGTTCAACAGCAGTTTCCCAGTGGATTGATGAACAAAAAAACTTAGTTTCCAAAAAGTAAGTAGTCAGGGGAACTTCTTGAACTTCCCTTATTGCAAACCATTCCAATGGCTGTTTGGAGACCAGCATGTAACAGGTGCTCAAGGTAAGGACTCATCACTTAAATTTAACTGAATTGCCCTCATTGAGAGCAGGTGGGGTTTGGGGACCTAGAGAAGGGCAAGGAACGCCTTTAGATATGGAATCATATCCAATCAAAGGGGCAGTGGGTGGTGGTTGGAGTCATAAGATATACATGAGTATGGATAGAGCTGAGCATGAGCTTCATAATGAGACACGCTTGTCTTTGAGATCTACTCTGCCATTTTTTAGCTGTGCGACCTTGGGTAGGTGTGATAACCTCTCTGAGCCCCAGTTCCATCATCTTCAACAGGAAGCTAATAATAGGACTCTATCCAAGTCAATTTGCCAAAAGTCAATTTACTGAAAGCTAATTATCTGAAAATGAGTTTGCCAAACGACCAATTAACTGAATAGACCTGAACATTCCTTAAAATGCTGGATTCACAATTAAAACCAATCAGCCGAAATATTGCAGAATTCTTTAAAACCTGTTCAACCTTCCAACCCAATAAAAATTTTTATAAAACAGTTAAAATGTTTTGATAAATTTGGCAAATTGTACATTTAGCAATTGACTTTTAGTTAACTGGCTTGAGAGTAAAACTATATTTTCAGTTTTTGTGAGGATGAAATAAGATAACGCATGCAGCTCTCAGCAGAATTCCTCACACATTAAAAAATGTTGGCTATTAATTATTATTATTACCTTTTAAGAAACCTCAGGCAAACAGAGATCATAGACTGCTACTGCAGGGATGGAATGTATACATGTGCTACTAAAATCTAGGTTTGGAGTGGGGAGCCTGTATATTTTTGACATAGATTTGCAAAAGTATGAACCCAACTAATTTGTTATTGAAAGTGGTCACTCTTAACCATTAAACATCAAATGAGGCTGTGAGATTTTATGTGTTCGTCCAAGGGGATCATGGATTTTAAAAGATTGAGATAAACTGATGTGGTCCAACCTCTTTATTTAAGAAGAGGAATTTGGAGCTGGAAATTGAAAGAGACCTGCGCAAGGTCCCAGAGAGATGGTTGTTTGAACAAAGTTACCTTCAGGCTGCTGACACGAGGTAATTCTTGAGCTCTGGGGTTGTTGGGAGGACACTGAGACACGTACTTACTCAGAAAGTTTTGATTCAAATTGGTGGATGATCTGGGTGGAGAAGTGCACTTTCCTTATGACGTTGCTGCCTTCCTCCCTGAAGAAGCAAAAACTTATGAAAGGGTCTCTTGGGCCGGGGGCTAGGTGTGTCATTGCAGGCTTGGGGGTGAGGGGAATGGCTTCAGACTTACAGCACGGCTGTGCCCTGGCTGATCAGGTCAGCCAAGGTGAGTTTCTCAAACTTTAAACTGTGCATTGAAAGCCAATCTTCTGAGTCTTCCCAAGCTGAAGGCTGGGTCTTATCCCCCTGCAGCCTCTATGAGACAGAAGCCAGAGTCAAACAGAAAACTCTGGAAAGATAGGGCAAGGCTGAGGATGCCCAAAGTTCCCTCCACTCAGATGCTCAATGGTTGCCAACTCTGACTGGTCCTGCCTGAAAGCAGTCTGTTCAGGAACTTGCCTTGCTGAGGGCACAGAGGAATGTGGAGGCCTGTGCTCTGGGCCAGTTGCCCCAGAAATACCTGTTCCCTTCCCTCACCTCATCTCCAGTATGTGGCTAGACAATTCAAGCATCACTCACCACGTCCTGCCTTGTGAGAGACTGAACACACAAACACACAACGGCCAGACCATGTGTGACAATGGACCTCTGACCCACAGCCTCTGCAGCAAGTGGCCCAGAAGGGTGAGGACTCGGTCAATGACTGCTGGCTTTCCTATTTCATCCTGTTTGCAGCTCAGGACCAACTAGAGACAGTCAAATATGCCCCAAACCAATCACATAGGATGCCCCGCTTCTAGTTAGCCCACCTCCAGCTTCCTCATATCAACAGCCTCCTTCAAGGCACACCTGAAGCCTTGCATTTTTTCCACTGTGAACCTTTCCCACTCCCCTGCCTGCCTTTGAGTCTCTGCCAAGCACAAGTCATGGTTGCTGACTCCCCCTGCTAGAGCAACCTCTGAGGAAATTGCCTCTGTTCTCATGTGGGTGGTCTTTGTTTATTTCCACACTTTCATTCTCTGTATCTTTTCAGGTGTATGAGTTCTGCCTCCCCATCACTCTGAGGGGTCCTCAACAAACATTTGTTGACTAACTGATGGAAGAGGGAATGGGTTTATCCTGACCATTCCAGAGACCAGAAACAGGAGGAGTGGGTGACAACTCCAGAGGAAGAATTCCCTAGCCATCACAGGAGTCAGGCCATGAAATGGACTGTGCCCCCTTGCTTGTACCTAGTGACACCTGTGTCACTTACATAGTGCTAAGCTCAGGATGTGGGTGGTGGCTTAGCATTGTAGTCGGTCATGGCAGGCATTCAGCATTGGAGATGCTTTCCGGGAGCCAGAAGGTGGAGAGAGCTGACCTGAGGCTCTGAGTTCACCCTGCCTTGTTCACCTCTTCTGGAGGCGGGCATTTCTTCCTTTTTCCAGTGGGTGTTTCTGAGCCCTACTATGAACTAGGCACTGTCCTGGTGCTGGGGCTACAGTGTGAACAAGATAGAAATGTTCTTGCCTTCTTGGAGCTTACATTCTAGTGCGGGTAGATGGACAATAAAGAAGAAGTGAAATCAGTGTACCTAATTTCAGAAAGCAACAGTTCTGTTAAGAAAATGGAGCAGGGAAATGTGATAGAAAATGACGAGGGTGGAGATGGGAAGGTCACTTTGGCTGCGGTGGGGGTCAGAGAAGGCCTCTCTGAGTTGAGATCCAAAGGTTAAGAAGGAGCCAGCCCTGTGCATAGCCAGGGAATGCACATTCCAGGAAGAGGCACAGAGCGGGGAAGGGGTCAGAGTGTTTGAAGAACAGAAAGGTGGTAACTGTGGTCCGAGTGTAGCAAATACAGGGTAGTGTGATGTGAGAAGAGGCTGGAAAGGTGTGGAAGGCCTGGATCAGACAAGATTCTGCAAGAGCTTCCAGTACAACCACTGTTGTTTACGTGATATAGGTGGGCCTTAAATGTTGCCAGAGTTGGTCATAATTCACTTAGGGTGTGGAATGGCATCAAAAGGGGAGGCCCACTGTGAGAGAAACCCCCTCATAGCATCTGATGACAGTGGAATGGACCTGAGCACTATTTTAACCCACTGGAACCCCAATCTAGACTCAAAGATGGCTTCACCCTGCTCCTAGGTACCTGCTTGAACCCTAAGTGGGTTCTGCTTGAGCTTGTATTTGTCAGGGCTTTCACTGTAGTGGGCGAGGTGGTGGACAAGGAGTTGAAAACTATCTGTGGTAGCTGACTGAGCTACACTGGAGAGGACGGAGGATATGGACAGAGAAGAGGAGAGAGAAAGAGAGGGAGAGATGAAAGGAGTGCACTACACTGGGGTCTCCATTGACTAGCTTTGTGACGCTGGGCAAGTCATGTGTCTCTCTTTCTTCACCTGCGAATTGGGCCCTGTGAAGCCTGTGGTTTATAGCTGTGCTATAAAACATCGCCTTGAGTGTTGCTGCATGAACTGTTCTCAACAACAACCTTTATTTCCTCCTCAGCTTGTCGTAAATGGAAAGTAACCTCGAAACAAAGACAACGAAACTAAAATGCTGCTATTATATTCCAACTAGATTAATAATTAGAGCAAACAACTTAAATAGCACTTATCATCTGTCAAGCACTTTCCACATATTAACTCATTTAATTCTACAGAGTATGTTCCATCATTAACCCCATTTTACTGACAAGGAGACTGAGGCACAGAGAATTTAAGTAATTTGCCCAGAGTCACACAGCTACTAAGTGATGAAGCTGGGGTTCAAACCCAAACTGTATAGCTCAAATCATGCTCATAACCACACTCTACTGCCTTTAAATTAGCACTAAACTGTGACTCTCTTCATGAAGGATTGGGAGAGAAATGATTGAAAGGATAACTTTGTCAGTGTGTGATTCTATGCTAATTAATGTGCCGCCCTTGAACAGCATCCCCCCAATCGTGTTCCCACACTTATGGAAACACTGCTCTGCATCAAATGAACACTAGATGTCACTCTTCTCATCTTTCAGGACTCAACCACCTCCCTGGTTGATAACACTGAGCACAGTAGACTTATAATTCACCTTTCTTCTATTTTACATGCATTTGAAATGATCGATCATGTTTTAGGACGTGGATTTTATATTATTAATATTTGAAGATCCACCATTAAACACATTATAGGTTTTGACTGTAGGGCATACTGATTACATAACTACTCAAGTATGTGCTTTCCACAGAGCCTAGTAACATCTTTGCACTGGGGCTATCCTTTCCCTCTTTCCCTCTGCTATTCATTGTGGCTTCAGCTGTGGCTGATAAAAATAAGTGCGGTCCCTGTACACCTGGGAAGTCACGTATTTTGATATTAAATTAGATGAAATAAAGACTAATATCAACATCTGAAGTCATCGAAGGAATCCTTCAGAATCTCAAGACTCTATTGGCATTTCCTCATTTCTTTTTAATTAAACTTGCTTTCCCGGAAGTGCCAATACTTGAGATTAGTAAAACATGACTATTTTCCTGATTAACTGCCAGCATTAACACTGTACTGTTTTTGACTTATGATTTCAAACGTCAACTCTAGTTCAGATTAGATAGGTAGTTATAGGCTAGGCTTGCACCTGACAACCCCTGAAGACAACAGTTTTATGGTGGAATAGATTCTGAGTTCCAGACAATTCACTCACCTTCTTGGGAAGATAGCTCATTTACACATTGAGAGTCAGCCTAAAACCACAGTTCTGGATAGTCTAGAGGTTAATTCTCCTGCCCTAACTCTCTTGCTCCAATAGCACTTCCTGAAACTGATTTTTGGATCTAGATTTTAGGGAATCCTAAAAGGAAAACAAATCTCAGGAAGGGGAATTTTAGAATTAAATTCCTTAGACTTCAGGCTTTGATAACACGGACAGAGTCTTTATATGCTCCTGAATATTTAGTGATATGGCCAAGAAGGCTGTAAAATTTCTACAAATAGTATGCAAATTCTTCAGTCATTTCTAAAGGCAGAGGATTAGAGATGAATGCTTAACTAATCTTTTTCAGTCCTGGGATCCTATGTGAAGACAGAAATACCCAGAGTTTAACGCATTCTGCATTCCCTGACCATGATTTGTAAGCACTGTGACTCAGTTCAAGCACTGTGGTTTTTACCAGTAAGTCCTGTGTCTGGTTAACGTGTGTAACCAGTAGTCCATCGTCTGGATTTTGGCCAAGTCCATTGATATTCTTCTGGTTCAATTGCTTCTTTGGATTTCTGTCATTGTTTCTCCTCATGCTATAAAATACAAAGTGATTTGATCAATGCCCCAGCACTGGACATTGACTCCACGCTGCCAGGGCCTCCAGAAACATCTTTATTTCTGTGCAGTAACTGGGAAGCGTTCCTGTAGAGTCCTGATAAAACGTGGGCTCCAGGTTCATAAGACATTTTCTTCTATTGCTCTGGTAGTTAGATAACTGAAGCCCTCCATTATAAGGTGATGCCATGACCATTTACCCAGTCTCACTTCAAGGCAGGTATTTCCCTCTCAATTCCCATGAGCAAAATATTGTTACTTCCATTTGAAAAATCGGAAAAGAGGCTTACCAACAATTTTCCAGAAACTTATTATCTTGACCATGGAAGACATCACTAGTTTGTGTAGCCATTGTAAAACCACCTGATGCTTATTTTCCTAGGGAGGCAAAGAATACCATAAAGGAGAAGAATAAGTGCAGCATATAGAAAAGAGCTTTGGGGGGGAATCTATATTCGATTCAACTCTTCTTTAATTCATTCATTCTGTAAATACTTATCGAACACCTACTAGGTCTCAGGCTTTGTGCTAGACGCTGAGCATACAATGGTGAACAACAAGCCTTCTCAGCTTCGGCACTTTTGACAATTTGGACAGGATAATCCTTTGTTGTGAGGCTGTCCTGTGTGTTGTAGGAAGCTTAGCAGCATCTCTGGCCTCTACCGATTAGACGCCGGTAGCATTCCTGCTCCCCAAGTTGTGACAACCAAAAGTGTCTCTAGACATGGGTTGATGTCTCCTGGGGGCTCAGTCTACCCCAGTTGAGAACCACTGAGCTAGACATTGTCCTTGTTCTCACAGAGCTTGCGTTCTAGAGGGGAAGACTGATGTTAAAAAGTTAAATATAGTAATTACAAATTGTGGAAAGTGCTATGAAGGAAGTAAACAGGATGATCCAGCAGACAGTAATCAGGAAAGGGGATCTATTTTGCATAGGTAAGGTGGTCGGTGAAGGTGACCTTCTTGAAGGACAAAAAGGAGGCAGAGTGTTAAGAGTATGGTGAAGGGTGGACTAGGCAGAGACGACAGCAAGTGACCATAAGGATTTTGAGGAGAGAGAGGGAAGAGGAAAAATATTGAGATGAGGTTGGGTTCTTTTCTCTGAGAACTGCATCTGTACTCAAAGGGGTGAGTTTCTACAGCCTACAGTCATAGCTTACTGAATCAGTGTAGACCTGTATCCAAGATGGATCAATCAGATTCTCTCTCTGGGAATTTGGAATTAAGAACTGTGGGGCCACCACGTAGATTCAGAAGCAGGAAGACTGTCTTCAGAGAAAAGTGGAGTGAATGGTCATTCTCTGCCTTGGTGTCCCTGGGGCCACTCTCTCTTGGCCACTCCTCCCTGCTCTCTGCCTGCTCCTTCTCAGTCTTCTAGGCAGGCTCATCCTCCTCTACCTGAGCACCTTAAGTCAGTGTTCCTTGAGGCTAAGTTGTGCGCACTCTTCTCTTCTCACTTTCTCCTCTTTTCCTAGGCAATAAGATTGCCTTGTCCGCGGCTTCAATTACCACCTATACATCAATGACTCCCAATTGTATGTCAAAAGCCCAGACCTCTCACTCTGACTCCACACCTGTGTATCCACTGACACTGGATATTTCCATTTGGTGTACCAGATGGTACACACAAAAAAAAATCAACATGTCCAAGATTGAATTCATATTCCCTACAAACTTATCCTCTTTTCATTGTTCTCTAGCTTAGAGAAAAGTCATCATCTATTTACTTATGAGTCAGAAACCTAGGAATTATTCTTGATGCTTCATTCCCCATATCCAATTCATCGCCTAATCTTGTTAATTTTACCTCTCTCAAATCTCTCCACTTCTCTGTCTCCACTGACATTTCTTGTGTCCAGGTCACCATCATCTCTGTCATAGACAGCTGCAGTTGACCCTAATGGGCCTCCCTGCATTCCCCTAGTCCTCTCATCCAATCTGTTTCCTCACTGAAGCCAGAGTGATGTTTTAAAAACACAAATCCAATATCACACTGCCTCTTCTCTTTCCTGCTTAAAACTGTTCAAAGGCTTCCCTTGATTTCTAGGATGAAGACTAAGATCCTTATGATGGCATTTGATGATCGCACGGTCTGGCCGCTGCCCACCTACCTCTTCAGCTTTCCCACTTCACTACCTCTCTCCTCTTCTGTGTTCCACAACCCCACTCCCTTCAGTTCCTGGAATGCTACACAGTTCCTTTAACCACAGGGCCTTTTCATGTGCTGTCTTTACTCTTTACTCTTCTCCCCTTCCCTCAACCTACTCATCCTTGACATTTCAGCTCAAATGTCACTTCCTCAGGGAAGTCTTCTCCAGCATCCCACTTTATTTCAGATTCCTTTGTATTATATAAACTTTCATAGAACTATGTTCCTTTCTTTCGGAGCACTTAATTTAGAATGATACATTCGTTAGTGTGATTTTTAAAAATTGCTGTCTCTCTCCCATTAAATTGTAATTGGCGTGAGAGCAGGGACTGGCAGACAATAAATGTTTTGAGGAGGGGAGGTGAAGGGAGAGAAGGAGGTTGAGAAACTGCCCTGGTTCTTGAATTTCTGACCACTGATCCCAGGCACCTGTGAAAACTGACCACTCTCTGCTCTTGGGTGCCATGAGACACTCCGTTCTTTACAATCCCCTACGTTTTTGCTTAAGCTAGCTCATTTAGGTTCCTGTTACTTGCAACCCCAAAAATACTGGCTAAGACAGCAAGCAAGAAACTCCAAATGGAGTTGCAGCTTGAACATTAGAGTGTACGTTCTTATGAAATCATTAAATCGCTTACTGACAGTTTGGCAACTTGCTTTTCTCTTTTTGGTCTTTAATCTTTTATTTAGAGGATGCTTCGTTTTTTTGGGAGGCACCAAGATAATGTGGCAATGTCTTTAAAAAAACCCCAAAACTGGCTTTCCTTCACTACTCTTTGCTGAGACTCTATTGGCAGAGACTGTTAAAATACAAATGCCTCAGGAACACCGGATGCCCCATGGTGTCCTAGTTTCCTCTTTTCAGTGAGTGATTAACAACGCTTAATGAATTCAGAGGCCTGCATGATTCGATTCTGGGGTGACTTGTGTGGGCTGATGAGGAGGGTTTGGGCTGCGTAAAACTAACAAAACAATGTGGTGTGCTTAGAAAGAGTACTGGACCTTTGGTTTCTTCATCTGCAGAACAGAATGGGGATAATAGTAGCTGGCCTACCTATTTCAACTCCATCGTCAAGAGGATCAAATGAAATTGAGAATGTAAAGAGCTTTGTCAAATACAAAGTACTATGGAAACGTAGGATGCCATTAAAAAAATGTGCTGCATCTTCAAGCACTTCAGCATACGACACTTAACCAATCCTTCATCCACGAACATTTGTAGAGTGCCTACCCAGTGCCAGAGACAGCTGGTCCTGGGGAGGCAGAGAGGAACAGGACACAGCCCACACTCTCAGGACGTCGCTCAAATCAAACCTTATTAGAGAGGTCTTCTTTGATTACCCTGTTTCCCATAGTACCCCCTCCATCCTGCTTTGTTTTCTCCATAGCACGTTTCATCATCTGATGTTCTGTATATTTACTTATTTATTGTCTGCCTCTCCCCCTTTCTCTCCCACCCATTAACCCACTAGAAGCAAGATGCACGAGGGCAGTGACTTGGTTATGTTCAAAGCTAGAACCCTTTTGTGTAATCAATGCCTAGAATATAGTAGCTGCTCAAAAGATGTTTGTTGAATAAATGTACTCAGGGCAGGTCAAGAGAATAGACAAAGATAGGCCACATTACCAGGGGGAGTTGTCTCAGGAGGGGAAGAGAACATGCAAACCAGTCCTTGGGAGATGGCATCTTGGTCAAAGGGAGAGAGGTAGCCCTGAGTAGTGGATACAAGAAAACCTTCAGCTAACTTCCTGGTTTGCTAACAGCTGGATCTAGGATTCTCATAAATATTCATCCAGGATAAAGCCATCCCCAGGGTTTGTATTTTTAACCGCCAAATAACCTCTATTTTTGCCCCCATCCAATCTATTACACATTCTCCTGCTAAAGTGATTTTTCCGATATGCAGAGTTATTCATATTGCTACCTGTTTCAAACCCTGCCATGGCTCCTCAGCGCCATGGATAATCATGTCAGACCTTCACAAGGCTTATCATTCCTTCAGAATCTGTTCCTTGTTTACCTCTTCAGCCCATCTCGCATCCTTCTATTGTCCCTGGCAACCCCTACTGACACACACCTTGCTATTTCATAGCCTTCTTTGCTCAAGTTGGACCTACTTCTAGAAATGCCCTTTGCCCTTTTTGTTTGACTAGAAAACCCAGGAAGTCTTTCCTGAACCCCATTTGCTGCCCCCCAACCCCTATGGAGGAAATCATTTCCTCCTCGTTGTCCTCTGGCTGTCTCATACCAAGTTGTCATGGTCCTTCTCCCGAGCAGCCCCATTACTTCTTCGTCTACAGTTGTACCCCCAGCACCTAGCACGATGCCTGGCATGCAGGGAGTAGATGCTTAAGACCCTAGGCTCCCTAAATCTATCTCACTCAGTCCAGCGGTTAGCATCTGGGCCTCCCCCACCCTCTCTCTTACTACCCTGTCAACCCTTGTGACACTCACCCTCACCTGCATTTCTCCATTTATTTCTCCGTCTTTGGAAAAAGGGTCCCTGGTCATCCCAGAACCCTGCTTCTCTTGGTTCCCACTTCTAGTTCCTCCAAGCAACTCAACAATGAAGCTTGCCCTGCTGGGAAGTGTTAGCTGGTCTCCAAGGTAACAGACTGCACCATTGCAGCTTGAAGCAGGGACAGGGAAAAACCTTCCTTCCCCCAGGGAAGAAATTACCATTTCTTGTTGATAACAGTCTCTCCCGGTCACTCTGCTTTTCTCCACTCCCACAAAAGCCTGGAAGCAGGATTTGTACCTCTTTTCTATTTTTAGAAACTCTGGGTCAGCAGAGAACTATGGTTTAGGCCAGTAGAGGGCTGGTGCCTGCTGCCTTCCTGTGGTAGGAACTGAAGAAAGATAGCAGAGAACCTGTGACATGTGTGAAAGATGGCAAACCTTCTCTTCCTCCTCAGATTCCCTGGGGTCCCCCAAACACACTTCCTGGGAGAGGTGTGACAGCACCCCACCCCCACCAGGTCCAGCCCCGCCCAAACCTGGCTAATATAGCAGCAGGCTCAGTGACCTCTTAGCATCAGAAGAGATCATTTACTGCAGTGGTTCCCAAACCCAGGTGCCCATCAGAATCATCTGGGTTGTTTGCTAAGAAGACATACATACATTCCTATCTGGGAGCTTGATACAGAACTGTGATAAAGTGTGGGAACATGAATCTTTAACATTGGCCCCAGGTGATTATGATGTAACCAGCCCTTGGCCTATAGGTGGGGA